GGGGAGGGGAGAAGAGAAGCTTCCAGGGCAATGCAGTCTTTAGGAGCCGGCTTAGGCCCCATCCCACACCATCCAGTCAATGCTGGAGCAGCTCTTGTGAGTAACGTCCCATGCCCGAGAGAGGTTAAGCATTGATTCTGATAAAGGAGCTTCCAGTCTGGGCAAAGGAAGACTCGGGTACCTCAGATGAAAAACAGAAAGTTTTTAACGCCCTGCAGAAGGCTCAAGCAAAGGGCACTGGGGCCACCAGGCAGGGTACGAAAATAGAGCAGGTCAGCCCAACAGAAAGAATAGTGTGTAGTGGTTTACAGCAGGGTATTTGCCACTTACAGCTGTCACCTTGGGCAATGCACTCAGGTCCTATGAGTCTCACTTTCTTTCTTTTTTTTTTTTAAACATATTTTATTGATTTTTTACAGAGAGGAAGGGAGAGGGATAGAGAGCTAGAAACATCAATGAGAGAGAAACATCGATCGGCTGCCTCCTGCACAACCCCGACTGGGGATGTGCCCGCAACCAAGGTACATGCCCTTGACCGGAATCGAACCTGGGACCCTTCAGTCCGCAGGCCGACACTCTATCCACTGAGCCAAACCGGTCAGGGCTCACTTTCATCATCGATAAAATGGCTAACCCTTTGCACATGGTTGCTATGAAAGCCAAATAGGAGATACTACATATAAAGTAGGTACAACAGCGCTTAGTCCACAGCAAGTACTTAACACTGCTAACTGTCATTATTATGACATGAGACATTTGAGATGAACTTTAAATAATAGGTAGGGCCCAGCTAATTTGTTGAGAATCAACCTATGAATCAAGGGTTGGATTCCCGGTCAGGGCACACACTCGGGTTGTGGGCTCGATCCCCAGTGTGCGGTGTACAGGAGGCAGCCGATCAATAATTCTCTTATCATTGATGTTTCTATCTTTCTCTCCCTCTCCCTTCTTCTCTGAAATCAATTTAAAATATATATATTTTTTAAAAGGAATAGGTAGGATTTGCACATGTGGAGATAAGAACAAAGAATCTGGCACTGGATCAGAAATCTCAGGACCTGTTTGGGGAATAAGGGGTGGAATGGTATTGGCTGGAGAGTGTGGAAGAGTCATGAGGAACAAGTCTGGCCAGATCACGAAGCTGGGCCAGCAGACCATGGACTTGACTATCTTTGGAATGGGCAGGGAGGAGCGACATGAGGCCGACATGAGTCCAATAACATTACAGAGCTAGAAATCTTTAGCTATGCCTACTCCTCACCTGCCATATTCAATGCATTGCTAAAGCCAACCAGTGCTACCTCTAAAGAGTTTTCAATCCATTTCCTCCTCTTCAGTCTGAAGACTATGGCTCTAGTGGAGTTCCCCATCATCTCTCACCTGCACTATTACAGCCTCCTGGCAGCTTTCCTTGTCCTCCGGTCTTGTCCCCTTGTAACTCAACCTTCATGCTGCTGATAGTATTTTTCTTAAACTGTATTGTTACCTTCCTGCTTAGAATCATCATGGCCCTGAGGACAGTGCCAGATGCCTTATGAGTATCCAGGCCCCCTAACAGGCTGGGCCCAGCCTTCCTTTCTGGCCCTGTTTCTCTCCTGCCCTGCTGGCTCCTTCACTGGGCTTCCTGCTTCCGCTGTTCCAGCTACACTGAGCCACGCAACGGTCCCTCAACACAACATGAACTTTGATGCCTCTTGTCTTTGCTCCTCCAGGTCCCTCTGTCCGCACTGAGCATTCATCCTGACCTGGGAAATTCCAGCACATTCTGGCCTCTTTGAAATGTCATGTTCTTGGTAAGATATCCTTGGACCTTCTCCTGGGACTCTGGCAGGTCAGAATGAATGATTCCTTCCTCAGGGCTCCACCATACCCTGTATCTCTACCATGGGAACTAAGTGATTGTTCTCCCAATGACCAGAGCTACACTTGATGCTGATATCGGATGCAAAGAGGATAGAAAGAGACCGCAGAGAAAGGCTACTGTCAGCAACCAGCCTGCCAACAGGACCTCTTACCCAGTGGAGGAGCCCGGCTGACGCCTTAGAAGACCCTCCCTTGACCTTTTCACTCTCCCTGGTTGCCAGCACCTTGGAAGCTGTGATAGGAGTTTGGACTGGGACCGGTCCAGGGGTCAGGTTGAAGGCCACGCTGCTTTAAATCAACCTGGAAGTAGTGCTGGGTTCTCATGACCTTGCGAGCTCCTCTCTCAAAGGACATTCTCCAGGGCAGGGGTTGCCAGATCTTGGCTGCAGCCTGGCCTGGGTTCTGTGGCCTCCCTCCCCACCCACCTCATGTCTGTTGCAGATCTCGCCGTGCATTCTACTCTGGACAGCAGCCCAAAGCCAGGCCCTGGGACCCTCCAGTTCCCATCCTGGGTGGCCCCAACATTGCAGATTGTCAGGTCAGAAACCAAGGGGGGAGTCAAGGGGAGACAGAGATGCACTCTCTTGTGCTTCCAGGCAGCAGAGGGGAGTATGGTGGAAGGGGGCAGGGGTATTTGCTAGCCCCCGTGTCCTTGGTTAGTGCCTAGAGGACGCTGAGTGGCCAGGAGTCCTTTAGACATGAGCTGGAAGGAGAACAGGAAAAGCCCACGGTTTGGAGTAGTGTAGCCAAACATGGCCCGAGACCGCCCCCTTTCCCACTCCTGGGTGGGTGCTTAGTGGACAGACCTCTGGACTTTAATCGGGGAAGTAATTCTCATCTTGGCTCTGCCATTTACTAGCGAAGCGACCTTGGACAGGGGATTGAATACCTCAGTGCCTTCGTTTCCTCATCTGTAAAATGTGAGTGATGTTCTCATAAGTGAGGACAAAGAATGTCGTTTTAATGTGACAAAGAGAAACAATGAGACACAGAGAGATATGAACAGTCACTGCTTTGGTAATAGCTCAAATTCCACAAGGTGTTATTCTACAAGTTAGGTGGGGAATGTTAACTGGTGCTACAAAAACGTAAGATGTAGCTGTCATTATGATCGCTCAGTCAAAGCCCTCATAGTCTTAAATCATCCATGAGCACCACACTCCCAAGTACACTCCCAAGTCCCAGAGGGACAGAAATGACGCCACCAACACCGAGCAGCCCAGGCTCGCTGCTCTGGGAGGAGGCTCACCGGCCTCCCTGTGCAGAAGCCCCAGCCTGTCCCAGCCCTGGGCCCAACCTCTCCCCCAACACAGACTTCATGGCTGCCTCACTGTCAAAGCACAGCAGAGAAATGCAGTTTAAATACGTGGTCTAGGTAAAGGTGCACTTCAGGTTCCATTAACAATTAGCAATCGTTTGTCATTTCCCCTGTGGTCAACGCATCCAGAGAGGGTGTATTTAATCAGCTTCACTTTGCCGGTGGTGGTGGTGGGGGGGGGGGG